TTTTTTTTTTTGTTATATAGGTCTGGTCGGCTAAGCTTTTTTTTTTTTTTTTGTTTTTTTTTGTTTTTTTTTTTTTGTATTTTTTTTTTTTTTTTATTTATTAATTAAAAAAATAAAAAAAAAATCAAAAAAAAAAAAAAAAAAAAAAAACTAAAAAATTGAAATTTTCAAAAAAAAAAAATTTAATAAATAAAAGAAATATATATTCTCTTGTTTTAGGCTGTGTGCATGTGTGTGTTAGATAATTTGGAGGACAATGATGATTAAATTTGAGATTTCGTATTGATTTATGAGCTGTGAATATGTTACATGATAGGCTAATTGATACTTAACCTTGCAAAAACTTGATATTATACATGCACTAGAATTAAGTTGGACATTGTGATGTTATGAGTTGATTCACATAATTTATAGGTTGATATAGTTGGATATAAATGTTTTACCTAAATCATACTAAATTACTTATTCTTAGACCAAATTTAGCATAGTTTGGGAGTGATTATGTTATTGTAGGAAGATATGGATATGGATATGGATTCCATGTGTGAAAATTTGTTTGTGGATTGTCTTAGATTAATGAGATAAAATTATACGAAAATCTTAAGTTGGAGGTTGGTTTACCTGAATAGGAGTTTGATAAGGGCCATTGCACTGGTCAAGGCATAAATTTAAAAAACAAATGTGAAAATTCTCTTCGAAAACTTTTTTACTTGGGTTATTAAGCTTGAAGGGTATTTAAAACATGGTGCCCTAAAGTCATCTGATTTGGAAGTCATCAGCCTAAAACTTATTACATGGGTCATTTAGAAAGTTTAAGGGAGAGAATAAAAAAAGAAAAATACATTTGAAAATCAGAAAAAAGGAAGTGCATGAATAAAAAACATTAAATGCCTTGATTAAGTTTCAAACACTTGTTTGAGAGAATTCGACTTCCGATGAAGGATAATTAGCTCAATTGAGTCTTGGATGTCAAAGCAATCAAAGAATTGGAGAATCCTAAATTATTGATGTGTTGACTTACAATTAGTACAGTCCACATAAACTAGAGAGAGTAATGTTAGTAATGANTCCAGACACTTGTTTGAGAGAATTTGACTTCTGATGAAAGATAATTAGCCTAATTGAGTCTTGGATGGCGAAGCAATCAAAGAATTGGAGAATCCTTATTTATTGATGTGTTGACTTACAATTAGTATAGTCCATCTAAACTAGAGAGGGTGAGAATAGTAATGAAAAATTCAACATTAGATTACACACGGGAAAAAGAGTAAAAAATGAACAAGTTTGGGGGTGTATGAATCATACAAGAGATGAAAGGATATATTTGACCACAAAGAGTCGGAAATTGAAGCAACTTGTTAAGTCATGATGTCTACTTAGTTTTTTTCACACACACCGATTTTGCATTGGAAGAGTAGATATTGGTTTGATATTGTGACTTTGAAACGGTTTGTAGATTTAGTACTATAATTTCAAATACTGAGATGAAAAATTAGATTGTCTAACCAAATACTTTTACATGCTTGTATGTTTGTTATTATTTAGACTATAATTTTGTTTGGGGACAAACAAATGTTTAAGTTTGGGAGGTATTTGATAAATGTAATTTTTTTACACTTATTCGGGACCTAAAATAACGATATTTGATAGTTTTTTTGACAAAACATATTTTAAATTGTTGTATTTTATGTTTAATAGGTGAAACTCAATGGATGAAAAAAAGAATTGAAAGAAAGAAGCAAAAGGTGGCAAAAAAGGGCAAAAGTTAAAGTACAAGGACTAACTGGTATTGTATGAAAGAATGGAGGACTTGGAAGCAATCATTAATTTAATTGAGCATTGGATTTAATTGGGCTTCAACTTGCACTTAAAAGTAGGCCCGAAATTTTGGTGGTTTAGGTTTTATATATACGTATATATTTATATGAACGGAACAGAAAAAAAAATAGTTACGGCTGAAGCTCTATGAGACAGAGAGAAAAGCTGACGTGTAATTAACCTTATATATACAAATTGGCATTGGCAGCAAAAGAGTGGAAGCATAATTAAAGATACACGCAAAAAGAGACAAGGCATAATTGATATATAAAATATATATTGATACACGCATAAAGAGGCAAAGATATCGGCAGTAGCCGAAGAAAGAATTAAATCCAAATTTTTTCACGTTTGGATAATTTCTGGTGATGTCGTTCCACTTTTGCTTGTTTAATTTCAATATCATTCTAGGCTAAATTTTTACATTACTAAAGATATAGATGAACCCTTGTTTTGAAATTTTTAGAATTAATTGATTATTTTAACGTTAATTTGTTTGA